AAAAAGCCAGATTCTTCACAGGGTGTGGGCAGCCTGACCAAAGCCATGGCCTTCAGGACTTCAGGAATGTCACAGACAACACAAAAAACATCCAAGCCAGATGTTCTTACTCTTATTTCTCCATTTGCAGCCTGCCATATTTTCATGGTCCCATCTGTGCTGGTAGAGACTCCGAGTCCTCCACCACTGGATATATCAAGGCAGGTAATCTGCAGGAAGGTAAAAGCACCAAGAATTAGCTTCATATAATTCTGTATATAAATACTTCTGCTCAAGAGCCTAGTTCTGTACAGGGGAAGACCTGCTAAGTAGATTCTCTGCCTGTGACTCTGCAAGGCCAGAAGAAAAAGGAATGCTGAGGCAGAAACCTGTACAAGAAGCAGTTGCATTCCAGGTTTATCCCAGATGGAAGAGAAATCTGGACTTTTCTAACAGGTCCTGTAAACAGATGAGAAATAAGAAAAGAGCTCAGGGTAACTGGCCTGACTCACAAGCCTACAATACACAGTTTGAATTATTTATGAAGCCAAATTCACATCCTAAATTTGCTGAAACACAGAACCAAAACTAGTTCTTTATATAAACTGGGGCCCCTCAGAAGGAGGACATTGAGGGGCTGGAGCATGTCCAGGGCAGGGAACAGGACTGGGGAAGGAGCTGGAGCACCCAGGAGAGGCTGAGGGAGCTGGGAAAGGGGCTCAGCTCCCAGGAACAGGGACAGGAGAGGGAACGGCCTCAGGCTGGGCCAGGTTAGACATCAGGAGGAATTTCTCCATGGAAAAGGGTTTTAAACAGTGAAAGGGAGGTTTGTAGGCCCCATCCCTGAAGGTATCCAAGGAAGAGCTGAATGTGGCATTCAGAGTTCTGGGCTGGGGACAAGGTGGGCATCAGGCACAGCTTGGGCTCGGTGACCTCAGATGCCTTTTCTGACATTAGGAATTCTGTGATTCTGTGAGCTGCATTTGCATTGCATTTTTTGAATTGAATTTTCAGGCTGTGGGTGGGGGAAAAAACCCTCTACAGCGGTAAAAGCCAAGGACAAGAGGAACAGGAAATGCAGATGGGCTCTAGCCATGACAGGGTTAAGTTTTCCAGCGGCAGGAGGGGGCAGGGCCAAGAGAAGGATGTTCCCACCTCTCCCTGCGGCGGCGGGAAAAAGTTCATTTTTTCCTGCTTCCGCTCTTCCCGGTCAGGTCCCCGCGGTTGGTCCCAGTCCCATTGCTGTTCCCAGTGAGTCGCTGCCTTCGGTGCTCCAGTTCCCTTATCCAGCCTCCCACCGAGCGCGCGTAGGAACGCTAAATTCGGGAATACCAATCCCAAACCACCAGTCCGGCGCCCAGGGGTCGAGATAAGGACAGCTCTGCCCGCAGCGGGTTGGAAGCAACTTTGAGCTGAGTATCTGGCGTGTTAGGTACAGTCGCTGGTCACGATGTGGCTTAGTCAGCTCTGCGTGGAGTGGTACCTGTGCAGATTTATATTTCCCTGCGTGGTCCTCATAAAGCACTTTAAGAGTTTAGAGAGATGGTTCAAGATTCTTGTGTGCATGGATTTTGTGGTGACAACTTGTGACATGATACACTACCTCCAGGAGATCGCTAATACTCGTTCCCAGTCCGTGGGGGGAACGGGGGATGAATACTTTCACAACCTTTTCTCCTCCTTTTACTCATTTAAGCCTTTTAAAGCAGCTTTTGAGCTGCTTCTGAATACTGAAGAAAGCACATTGTCATTCAGTCTGCTATATCTCCTCCCTCTGGTCTACATCACCTTTATGGCCTACTTTGTCTTTAGAGTTACAAAAGAGATTATTGGGAAGGTCTTTCAGAGAGCGGATAGTGATGAGTGGCACGGAAGGTGGGAGAAAATCGGCCAGGTTTTGAAGGAGTATTCAGCTCCAGTGGTTTGGAAGTTCACCCCTCAACAAATACAGGATCCTGTTAAAGTGGCAGATTATCTGAAAGAGAAATGCTGTGGTGGTTCCAGGGAGGAGCAACTTACTGCACTGTGCTGGGCCCTGGCTACTCTTTATCGGACACTGCTGGATACCAGCCAGTCCCCTCAGGAGGAAGAGGAGGAGGAGGAGGAAAACACAACAACAGGCACTGTGGCCACTCAAACTGCAGCTGCACCAGAGGAACAACCCATGCTGGGAGCAGTCACTCCTGAACAGAACACATCCAACACCACATTAGTTTCCTTAGTGAGGGATGAAGAGGATGACGATGATGAAGAGGATGAAGATGATGAAGAGTCCTCAGAAGAGGAGGAAGAGGCAGAGCCAGAGATGATCAGCGAATCCCAACGTAAGCTGCAATTAGCCCGAGAACGTTTCACCCGCCTTCCGGATCAGTCTTTACTGCTGTGGCTGTACGAGTGCTGGTTTGCAGGGGCCCATGTGGATGTACTGCTGGACAGCTCTGAAGCCAAGCAGCTGGGATCCCTGTCCCGGGACGTGGCCATTGACAGGGGGCTTGGGAGAAGGACAGGAACTCACAGCCTCTGGATGCGACTGGTGGGAAGCGTGAGGGAAGCGTACACCGTGGACGAGCTGCTGGTGCAGCGGAAGAGGTGGCACACCAGGCTGGAAGGTGTTCAGTACCTGACAGAACTGTCCATGGCAGACATACTCTTTGGGAATACACAGAACAGTCAGTGCCTCGACGATCTGGACAGAGCCTGCTGCACCTGGGACATCTGGCAGGCGTTCAGAAAGAGCGCGCCACTGCTCTACGCCAAGGGACTGTCATCGATCACGTGGAACAGGAACCTAAAGGTGCTAAAATTAAAGGCCTTCATCTGGGACTATGGACAGAAACCCTCTTCCCCTCCACAGGACAGCTTCTCCTATGTGGAAAGACAGCCCAAGGAAGGTGCAGCCTTCGGTGATGATCCCTGCACAATATGCCATGAGGAGCTAGGCAGAAACTCGTGTGAGCTGGAGTGTGGGCATGAATTCCACAGAAAGTGCATCAGGACGTGGCTCCAGGAGCACTCCAGCACCTGTCCCATCTGCCGCGACTACGCTGTCCTACCTGCAGCTGTCCCTGAGCGTCCTGCACGGAACAGCTCACAATGCTACCAAGCCAGGCCTTGGAAAAGATCACGGTTTTAGAAGAGCTCCCAAAGAAAAGTGCTGAAGAGACCAAGGTCTTAAAGAATGGACTGGATTGATTTCATAAGGCTCAGAAGTACAAGTGAAAAAATGGCAGCAGAAGAATCTTAAAGTCAGCTAAAAAAGCCCCTGGATACCAGTGAGAGGGATTGGAAGTCCACTGGTGACAAGGAAAAGCGGTATAATGGATACAGATACATATCCTGAGACATTTAGGAGGGACAGCCTTTGATTAAGGAAATTATTCCTGTGCTTTTGTGTGTACAGAGATAGTTGGGTGGTGTGGGATTTGGGCATGAGGAGATGGGATAGAATGAGGGGTGGGGAATGTCCTGGTTCTGGCCAGGACAGGGTTAATTTTTACAGGAGCATGGGACATTTGGGATATTTGGTGGCATGCGTTTTGGGCTCCTCATGGTGAGTGGCTCTGTTTGCTCTCCTGTGCATTTTGTTAATTAACGCTGTTGCTACTGTTGCTTTTTTTATTCCATTGCCGTTCTCAGTAAATTGTTCTTATCTCAACTCCAAGCTTTGTCTTTTGTGCCTCCCATCCCTGTTTCCATCCTGCTGAAGGGGAAAGGAGTCAGTGACATGTGGTCCAGGGTGTTTCAGTGGGAACACCATCCCTAAACCACAAGTTCCATCTTCATTGCAAGCCCTCATACACAGATCCACCATCCAGGCCACACCTCGCTGTGAGGGCACCACAGACAGGGATGTGAGAGTTGCCAGTCACACCCAGAGATTCCCACCTCACAAGGGTACTCACACTTTTCTGATGAATCCTACAAAAACTTGTGTATGGAGCCAGGAACTTGGTGCACACGTTTTCATGAGGACAAGAAATGAGAATGCTTTTCTAGTGGGGGAAACAAGGAAAAAAGGAATTAGAAGTGCTGTTAGTCCTGAAACAGAGGTTGCTGAGGTAGAACTGTGGCTTGGACCCAGCTGTGGGATCCCAGAACCTGAAAATTGATGGGAGGGTCACTGTGGGGCTCATCTCCTCAGGGTGCATTTGGGATGGTAGGGACCAGCTCCAGGGCTCTGCACAGCAGGACAGGACTGTGCAGGGCACAGGTGACAGCTTAGGCTGTCAGAGCAGCCCCCTTTATGCACAGGGAATGGTCACCAACCCTTCTCCCCTCAGCCCTGGCACCTTGGTGACTTCTCCGACCACGAATCCCTCGGAGGCCACGATGTCTGGGACGCCGTCGGAGCTGAGCCCGCGCCGGGTGACGCTGCCATACAGGGTGGGCTTCCCTGGGGGACAGCAGCCGTCAGCCCCAGCACCCGCAGGCGCCCCAAACGTTCCCTCCCACCCTCCTTACCCACACGGAACGCAAACACCCCCATCCCCTCCTAACGCCCTCGGGATCCCGCACCCTTTAACACCAAAGGGATCCCCAAACCACCCCAATCCCTTCCAGCCCAACACCCGCACTCCCGTTCGAACCGCAGGGCACCCCAGCAGCCCCGTTCCCTGCTAACACACGGGGCACCCCGCCACCAGCCCCTGTCCCAAAGGCTGTCCCGGCCACCGCCATCCGTTCCTGCTCTTTGAACACCCTTCACCCCCAGGACCCTCTCGATCCTCCCCGATCCCCTCTCACCCCCACGTCTCCCTCGAGGCCTCTTCAGGCCACTCACCGGGGCTGCGGCAGCTCAACCACGCCTCGCCCTCGTCCCTGCTGCAGAGAGAAGAAGCGGCCGTGAGCGGGGCAGGGAGAGGGACAAGGACAGAGACAAAGAAAGGGACCGTTCCCACCTCAGCGCCCGGCTCCAGTCGCTCTGGATCCGCAGCGCCGCCGCCATCTTTGCCGAGGTAACGCAGACACTTCCGCCTCCTCACTTCCCGTCGGCCCTCGCGCGAGCGGAAAGGGGAGAAACCCGCCAATCAACGACCGCCGCCGCGGCCGTGCCACGTCCCGGAAGTACCGAGCCGAGCTCCCGCCTTAAAGGGACCGCGCTGCGCTGGTACGGGGCTGCCCCCATGGGTGGGGAATGGGGAGGGTGCTGGACATCCCCGGGGAACGGGGAGCCTCGGGAGGTTGAGGAGGGCGCTGGGCACCCACGGCTGGGGTGAGGTGCAGGGGGTGCAGAGGGCTCCGGAGGGCCCCGCCACCGGACCCCGCCACCTCGGCCGTCCCCAGCGCCCCATGGCGAAGCCCGGGCACGGCTGGAGCCGCGCGGCGGCGGAGCGGGGCGAGGCGGAGGAGGACGAGGATCCGCTGGACGCCAGGATCGCGCGGACCGGCTGCCTGGAGCAGCACCGGCAGCTGCAGGAGTGCATGGCGGAGCGGCGGGACTGGCGACACTGCCAGCAAGAGCTCCGCGCCTTCGGCGCCTGCATGGCCCGGCGGCAGCCGCGGCAGCCAGGGCCCAGCCCAGCCCAGCCGCAGGACTGACACCTTTCTGGCTTTATTTTCTTCCGAGCGCTTGGAAACCCAGGTGGAATTGTTGGGAAATTAAATTTGGAGTTTGTCACCCCTCGGCTCGGTCTGTGTAAGTTGGAGAGGGTGGCTGGTTTGGAGGCTACAGCATCGAGCTGTGCCACAATCGTTTCAGGTTGGATATCAGGAGGAATTTCTTCATGGCAAGGAGTTTTAAACATTGGAAGGGACTGCCCAGGGAGGCTTGGAGTCCCCATCCCTGGTGGTGTCCCAGAATGACTGGACATGGCACTCAGTCCTCTAGGCTGGTGACAAGGTGGGGACTGGGCACAGCTTGGACTCATTCCAGAGGTATTTTCCAACCAAAATGATTCTGTGGTTGTGGATTTCCAGCCCAAAATGTCCCAATCCAGGAATATTCATAGCACTCAGGCTGGGTCTTGGCTCCAGAACAGCCCTGCCATGGATTTTTACTCCATGTCCTCTGTGCCATCCTAAGGCTTTTCCCAGCAGTGATAAGCTCATATCCCACAGGATGGGACTTCTGGGCAGGGGATTTATCTCCTGGGAAGCCACAGAAAAAATAGGAATGGGAGAAAAAGGGATTCTGATCTGACCACTACTTGCTAGCAAATAAGCGAGGAGAAAGAAAATAAAATTGCTTTTTGCATGGCTTTTGTCAGAAGGAAGGTTCCAGGCTATTTCCCAGGGATGTGGGTGCTGGGAATACCAAGAGGCTGGGCATGGTAGCACAAGCAACCCTTGCACAGTCCCAGTTTGGGGAAGAGTGTAAATTAATGAGTTACTTTCTCTTTTTCACAAGCTGGTCCTTAGAAAGGGAGAGAAAAAGCCTCCAAACAAAACAGTTTCTGGAACAGTTTCTCCTGCCATCCATCAAATTTGGTTATAACAGTTCCTGGGATTGTTGCAGCACAGCATTATTCATGCCAGTGATTTCTGCAGAAATTACCACCTATCAAAGCAAAATAGACAGGAGTTTAAAAAAATAAAAAAAAAACAACTGAAGGAAAGCAAACCCACAATCCATTGTGGCACCTTTGTTCCCAGTACAAACCAGTCAGAAATAAACACCTTACTTATTTTTATTGAGACAAGCTGGTTGCCAATAGTGGGACTTCCTTCCAATTCACAAAGTTATCAGTACAGAGCTCATGGAAGCACCCTCTGGAGGCTGGAACAGCCCATGCATGGCATGTTGTTCCTCACCTCATGACATTTCTGCCAGCAGCTCTTCCAGCTCTGGTCGAGACTTCAGTCGGCTCTTGAAATCAGCTTCTGTGTGCTGTGGAGGGAGAGAATACCACACAAATCAGGATCACACAAACCCTTTCCCTGCTTCCTAAAGGGAAAGCATTGTGAAGTGTAACCATACCTGTTTCATCAACAGATGCACCCCCTCAGGCTGGCTACTCTGAATGATTTCCAGCAGTATGGGAGCAAATGTCGAGCTCAAACCACGGATCTGAAAGCAGAAATGACAGAGCTGCAGGAGAACGATCCCAGGATACTCTGGGTTGGAAGGGACCTTAAAGATCATCCAGTGCCACCCCTGCCTTGGGCAGAGACGCTTTCCACTCTCCCAGGTTGTTCCAGCTTGACCTTGAACACCCCCAGGGATCCAGGGGCAGCCACAGCTTCTCTGGGCACCCTGTGCCAGGGCCTGCCCACACTCACAGGGAACAATTGCTTCCCAATATCCCATCCATCCCTGTGAGTTATCTCCAATGACCCCAAACACGACTTTTCTACCCTTCATATCAATTATTCAGCAGAAAATAGATACTTCTGCCTGAAACACAGAGCCAGGAAATCCTCCTGGGCTTCTAGTTTAGGAGCAACACTCAGCAGAAAACATAACCAGACTTTTTTCTTCCATTTACACCAAATATTGCCTTTATTCTGTTAAATGTTTGAGGGGTTTTGGGGAGCGTGTGATGGGATTCCAGCTCCTACCTGCACAACCCTCTGGTGGGTGGTAAGGACTGCATCCAGCTGCATTTTGGATCCCTTCTCTTCCAGGAACAGCACCTCGTTGGTCCTGGTGGGCATGGCATAGCTGCAGGAGCCAGAGGGCAGTGCTTAGGACAGGCAGGATATCTGCACCACTTTACAGGGATGAATCTCTCTCCACAGCAGAGAATGGGGAAGGAGATTAACTTTTCATGGGAAATTAATTATGCAAAGGATGTATCTTGCAAATCAGGTCCTGGCAGAGGCCGAGTGTTTTGCTGGAAGGAGATAAGGAGGAAGCTCTGCAGCACTGCTGCCAGCAAAAACCTGGATTAGCTACAAACACCAGCCTGAGAACTTTTAACTTTTTCACAGTTCAAGAAAAGCAACAGTTCTGACTTATTTTGTCTTTTGGGACAGAGCTAAAATCTGCTGCTGCAATGCACCACTCAAAATACATTGTTGGCACCTCAGATTTAATGGGAATGTGACTGGGAGTGGATCAGACTGCTCAAGACGCAGAGACCTCAGCTTCCTCATCCCCATTCCCACATCCAAGCTCCATCCTACTGCCCACCTTTTCCCCTCAATTCCCAGTCTGAAGGGCAAATCCTTTCTTTCTCTACACACTGAGCCATGTCTGGCCTCAGAGGTACAGGTGAAAAGCACACATTTTAGACAGTCCCCATGGGTTTTATTCCCTGCTGGCAGCTCAGTGCTTTTCCCAGTGCTTGCAGCTTCCTGGGAGCACTTCAGGCACCAAGGTGCTGCCTGACATTCCTCAGGCATTACAGTAAGTGGAGTGGCTGTTGGAATACACCTGTTTTGGAGAACTAGGGTGCTCCTGAAGCATCCTATCCTCCTCAATTGTAGTAGCAGGAAGTTCAACCAGCACCTTCAGGGCTTTCCCAAGCTCACTCCACTTTTGATAAGCAGGGTGGCATGCAGAGCCTGTATCACAAACCATGAAGGAAAACCAGCAGCAAATGTCAGCGATTCCCAGGCTCTGCACCCACAGGCTTAAAGCCTTTTCCTCAGAGGAAGGAGATGTTACAGCCATTTTTTTTCCTTGGAATCTGCTCAAGTCAGCGCCTGAAAAATTCAATGCTTCTAAATAAAGCATCCAGAATTGTACAGATACACAAAAGGAGAACACAGGGCAGGTGAGAGGTTTGGATTGCCATCCAGATGGGAATCCCTCAGGGAGACTGGAGTGTGGCCTGATGTGCAGGGGGTCATAATCCAGAGGGACAGATTTCTTCATACCTCTCATTGACCTGGATGGAGAGACGGTTGCAGAGTCTGTGGACGTACTGAGCAAAATGCTCCACCAGGCACAAATCATAGGAAGTCATCTGGATGTTGATGTCTCCATACTGGTACTCAGTGCCAGCACTGATCTCTTTCATCTGCACTTTTTCCTTTTTCCTCTTTGGAACCTGTTTTCCAAAAGAAAATACAACCAAATAAAATAGAGGGTATCTGTTTTGAACACTGCTAGGGATAAAGGTTCAGCTCTTGGATGGCCTCACACAGAAAACACACTCGGGCTGTGATTAATTTCTTCCAGAGGAAGAAAAAAAGGAGTAAAACCAGTAGAAATAAACGTGCTGGTTTATTTCAGTTCCTGCCTAAAAGGCAGCTGACTTCTTCTTTCCTCCTTCCACATCTCAGGGAGTGTGAAAAGGTCACATGCAAGTAAGAGCTGCTCACAAAATTCTGGAATGGTTCAGGTGTTAAATTCAGTGTCATGAGATTCCAAAGCTACTCTCTCCCACAGGAACATATGGACAAAAGGAAGCATTTCTGCAGTGTGGTGAGTGAGTACTTCATGGAGTCATGGAATAGTTAGGATTGGAAGGAACCTTAAATCTCATCCTATTCCAACCCCCTTCCATGGGCAGGCACACCTTCCACTATTCCAGCTTTCTCCAAACCCCATCCAGCCTGGCTTTCTGAGATGGGGCATCCACATGTTTCAGGATTACCTTGGGAAAGCAAGCACAGAGAGAACTCCTTCTGCCTACCTCCTTTGGGAGCAGGTATTTAAACTTCCCAATTCCATGGGTAGGTCGGGACCTGTAGGATCTGTGGCAACCCAGGAGTGCATCACCTGAAAATGAAAGCAGAGCAAATGTGTTTCCAGCTGCAAACAAACATCTACAGGTGCTCTGAGAGCCCCAAATTATGGTCACATTACACCACAGCTGGTGCCACCTGCTTTACCAAGAAGAGGGCAAAAATAAGAAAATATTGGAAAAAAACTACATGGAAGTGGCAGAGCATCTGCTCTGGTTATTTAACCAGCCCAAAGTTGGCTAAAAAAAAAACCACCCCAAAACAAAACAAGCATGCTCCAATGTTTAATATTTATTTGAGGGAAGTGAATTTTTTGCCTCAAAGCTAGATTGACAACAGACCTTACCTGCAGCACACAGACGGTTTTCTCTGGCTGTTGCTGCTCTGTAGGAAACAAAATAATGATTAAAAAGTCTGTAGGAAACAATATAATAATGAATAACTCTGATTTCCCTCATTTATGAAAAACATGTGGCCAATATCCTTTTACAAAGGCGTGGCCTTATCCCCATCCTACAGCCCTTTCAGCTCCCAGCTCAAAGCCTTACCTCCACTATTAGATTTGGCAAAAAAAAAAAAAAAGTAAAAAAGAAAAAAAAAAAGGCAATTTTTTTGGTCACATATGTTTTCTCACCTGCTGAGGGCCAACACCTGCCTGAGCAACACTCCCTTCTCCAAGCACAGCACCTGCAAGGGTTAAAACATGGCAGGGTGGAAGACCTGTTGGGAATTTTCACCAGGTTACTACACCTCTAGGATAGGACCCGGGGGAAGGGCTGGAGCTGCGCCAGGGGAGGTTTAGGATGGGTATCAGGTAAAGGTTCTTCTCTCAGGGGTGCTGGGCACTGCCCAGGCTCCCCAGGGAACGGGCACAGCTCCAGCCTGACAGAGCTCCAGGAGTGTTTGGACACCGCTCCCAGGGATGGTTGGATAGTCCATGAACAACCCTCGTGCTTGTCCCGCCTCCTAACGGATGGAGGGAAACACTCATCCATCCGGCAAAGAGCTCTGCTATCGCCAAACCAGGGGGATAAACACCGATGTCCCAAATGTCCCAGTGTAGAGGGACAGGGATCCGACAGGGACCACGGAGTCGAGGGTTGTAATCGAGTTGGGTGTGTGAGGATGGGCAGCAGGGGTGTGTGGGTGTCTCAGCCCCTGGTCCAGGAGCACCAAGACAGACCCAGGTCACGATCTGAAGGTCTGGACCTCTCAGGCTCACCCCCACACTTCCTTCCGAAACCAAACCAGGGTCGGATCAGGGCCTCTAGCAGCAAGGCTGGGGCTGCCTCAGCTGTGCCAAGGACCAAGGCTACTCTCCGTTCCTGTTCCTTCCCTTCCCTCTGTCCCCGCGTCTTTCCCCGTCCCCACTCCCCTTCCCCGTGGCCATCCCGCTACCTTCGGCACCGCCGCCATCATCCGGGGCCACGGTCCGTCGCTCAAAGCACTCCCCCTCAGTGCCTCGGTACGCCCCCATTCAGCTCCCCCCGTCCCGCGGCTCCCTCCCTGCGTTCCGCCCACCGATGCTCCCGGGAATTCTAATTTCCGGACAGCGCCCCGCTCCGCCCACCGCGAACTGCCGTAGGCAACAACTTCTGGACAACCCGCGGAACTTGCGGGGCCCCGGCGTCCTTAAGGAGGCAGCGGGGAGGGCGCGGGGATGCGGGCAGTAATGGCGGACACCTCGTTCCCGCCTGCCCACACGCGGCAGCGGCCGCACAGCGCAGCCTGCCCCGCGCCTATCACCGCGCGTCCCGCCCCCCGCCCGTCCTCGCACTCTGATTGGCCGCCAGCCACGTCCATCAGGGCGCGGCGGCCATGCTGAGCGTGGCATGGCCACGTTGCAGGGCGGCGCTCGGCCCCGCCCCAGCGCGCTGCAGCGGCCACCTTGAGTGGGGCGTCCCGGCGGCCATTTACTTAGGCCTTCGGGATCGCTTAAATATATGTGTATTTACAATCATGAAATCCTAAGCATAGGAAGGCTGGGCTGGTGGGGACCTCCTCTCTGAATTCCCAGTAGGAGAGCAGGTGGGCAGGGGTCCTGCCTGGGAAGAGATGGGTCTGTGGTTCTCTGCCCCCTAGGCCTGACAGTCTGGAGCTGGCTCAGAAAAACCCACCCCGTGTCCCACTGCCTCTTCCACACAAATCTTAATTTCTCACAGGCTCCTTTCCCTCCTCCTGGCTCCCTTCTCTCCAGTCTGGCTCCAGTTTCCGCCTTCTTCCATAGGAGGTGCTCACTCTGGAGCCCACATCCCTGATCCCCCTTCTTGGAGCTGTTCCCTGCCTGGGAGCTGGATTTTGAGTCAGGATTTCCCAATCTGCTGACTGATGGCTGCTCCAATTGCTCTTGCTGGAGCTGTCAGAGCTCCCAATGGACTTTCTCCCTGGAACTCATCCACGTGGCAAGTTCACGTCCTGCTCTGTGACCCAGCCCTGTCCTGCATTTCTCAGTGCCTGGAGCTCCGGACACACACTGGACACCCTCGCTGTCCATCCCTTCTGTGCTGCTGCACGGAAGGGACAGAAAGACTGTGAAAGGACAAGTTTTGTGTCTCCACCTGCCCAGCACATGGAGAGAGCAGAGGGGATCCACAGCACCTTTGCTCTTTGCTCCACAGTGCAAGGGGACACGTGTTCCCATCTCCAAGCTGTGTTTTCCTGGTGCTCCCAGGACATGACAGAACTGCCCACGTGGATGTTTTCCTGCCCTTTGATCCCACCTGGTGAGCCCCAGGCAGGGCCAGCCTGGGAATGAGGCTTGTGTAAGGATCATGTGGGAATCTGAGCTGGGTTAAGGCTGCACTAACACTCCACGAAACTTGTGCTTCTCCTCCCATGATCTTTGAAGCCCCAGAGGAAATTGAGGAGGGGCTGCTGTGACTGGAGGGGACTCGCTGGTCCTGTGTTTGTAGGGGAAGCTGGGATGAGCACCACGATTAAGAGCGGGTTGAGGATGACTCCTAATTCCCTGCCCTCCAGTTCTGTGTGCCCATGGAGTGGGACTGCATCCCTTAATTCCCTCTGCCCCTCCTGGGGACTCACCTTTCCTCCACCCCCAAAATGTTGCTGAGGAGGGAGCGTTGCCCCAGGCTGAGTTTGGGGTAGGGCAGTAGCAGATTGCAGGGATTGTTGGTGTCCTCTGTGTCTGCATGAGAAACGAGTCCACCTCTCCACTGAGGAACGTCTCTGACATCTACCATAGATGAATACATTTTAAGGCCAAAAGGGATTGTTAAATAATGGAATTCACTCTCCTGCACATCATAGTCGATAGGTTTCCAGTGACTTATGGTTTTATGGAAGCAGATCACTCCTCTCTCTGTGAAAGCATCTTTCTCACAAAGGCTCCTCTCGATTTCCCCCGATACAAAGATAGTGCTGCTCTTGGCAGCTTGTTCTGGTGGCTGAGCACCCCCTCCGTTAGGACACGGTCCTTATTTTCAGCTGGAATGTACCTTTCTTTGCCTTTTGCATCATTTCACATCCCTGCTGCAGGAGCACAACTTCCAAATCTTTTTGTGACATTTATATGGAGAAGCTGATGGGATTTGATGAATTCCTTTTTCTGCACCACACTTAAAAACTCCAGGAAGCTCTTTCTCCTTTTTAAGGCTTCCCATGCCTTGCTTCCACTTCTTTTCAGATTCATCCAGTGATGAAAACAATCAAGTTCAAACAGAAACAGTGAAAACAATCAAGTTCAAACAGACCTTAGAAGAAAACCTCCGTTTCGCGCATCTCCTCCTCTGACTTCAGTTATTGTTTTCCCTGGGAACCATGGGAAGGATCCTGGAATGAACCCTGACACAAAAGCAAGGACAATATCTGCATTTAATATTTGAGATCACGTCAGGCCAGGTTGGATTCCCTTTGTCTCAGCAGAAGAGCAGCCACACAACCTGTGTGGAAGCACTCCCAGATGCCAGGTGCAGAGCTGGATGGAGATTCTGCTCATATCTATTAAAATTTAATAAATTTAAATTTATTTTAAATTTATTAAATTGTTTAAATTTAATCACCTGATTAAAAACACATTTTGCTTTTTTTAGTTCTCTGATACTTCAATGCCTGGGTGAAAAAAACCCAGCCCTTGGTGAAGCAGTTAATCACATCGAGGGAGTATAAATGAAACGATCAAAATTATAAAGGCTTTCAAAACTAAACATGTAGCAGATGCCATTTCCCTGACTATCAGAGCAGAGATGCTCTGGAACAATCTCCCAGTCAAGGTTTAAAAAGGAGGGGCCAGGACGCACCTGGAAACCTCCTAAAACACTGACCTTTAGGGGCAGAGTGGGGGAAAACGGGCAAAAAATAGTGAAAGGAATAGGTGGAGGGCCCTGAGCCACTGTTGAAGGATGTCAGTGGGGATCACTGACCTTCCTGGGAAACATCACCCTGCTGTGAGGGATCTGCTCCCCGGAGACGCTCCTCTAAAAGGAGCATCTGTGACAAGTTAGATTCATGAAGCCTTAGCTTTTAAGGCCTTTGCTGGCTCCCCCCTCACGCTCTTACCCTGACAGTGAGAGCCGGGTACACCTTGCAGCCCTTACCCTGGTGCTGAGGACTGGACGGTGGGCAGGCCCTGGCACAGGGTGCCCAGAGAAGCCGCGGCTGCCCCTGGATCCCTGGCAGTGTCCAAGGCCAGGCGGGACACTGGGGATGGGAGCAGCCTGTGCTGCTGGAAAGCGTTCCTGCCCACGGCAGGGGTGGAACGGGATGATTCCCCCGTCCCTCCCAACCCGCACCATTCCCGGCCCGTAGCAGAGGGAAGCGCGCACTGCGCGTGCGCGGGGCGGGCGGAGCGCCGGCTCCGGGAGCGCGGGGGGGGCGAAGCGGCGGCGGCGACACCGGCACCGGCACCCGCACCGGCACCTCACCGGGGCTCGCAGCCCTCGCCGGGGAGGAGGAGGACGAGGAGAAGAAGCAGGCGGAGGCGGAGAGAAGCGGTCGTGGTCGCGGGTGCCGCCGCGGGGAGCGGAGCGAGCGCGGGGCGGCGGCGGCGGCTCCTCCATCATGTCGTCGGGCGGGGACTTCGGGAACCCGCTGCGGAAATTCAAGCTGGTGTTCCTGGGCGAGCAGAGCGGTGAGTCACCGCCCGCCGCGGGCCGGGACCCCCGCCCCGACACCCGTGGGGGCACGAAGGGACCCCCTCCTCATCCTCCCCGACATCCTCGTGAGCGTCTGTGACACCCACCCCCCTCTTATGGGGTCTGATGGGATCCCCTCCTCGTTCTCCCCGACACCCACCCCCACTTATGGGGTCTGATGGGATCCCCTCCTCGTTCTCCCCGACACCCACCCACCCTTACGGGGTCAGATGGGATCCCCTCCTCGTTCTCCCCGACAGCCACCCCCTCTTATGGGGTCTGATGGGATCCCGTCCTCGTTCTCCCCGATACCCACCCACCCTTACGGGGTCTGATGGGATCCCCCTCCTCACGACACCCAGCCTCTGTCATGAGAGTCCCTGACACCCACCCACCCTCGTTGGGCTCCGGGGGTTCAGCTCTGGTTTAACCCCCCACCCACTAAAGCCCGTCTGCAGAAACAGTTGCTGATTCATTCGGACCCAGCTCCTCTGGTTTTTGGGGGGCACGAGTCTCAATCCGCAGTGTTTACTGTGTAAATACAGCGTTTTTCCATAATGGAGCTATGTCTTGGCAGAGCGACGCTCTGAATATTTAATTCAGTCAATGAGGTTTTCTTCCCTGTCTTTGGAATGAAAGAAAAAAAAAAAAACCAACCTAAACAATGTCTCCTCCTTCCTTAGCGGAAGGCCTCTATCTCCAATACTGCATTCCGAATCTTTCCCTTGGAAGAGTTTTCTGGGAAAAAAAAAAAAAAAAAGGCAAAAAAGCTCCTTTATGAGATGCTTTGTGTAATCCTGGGTAGATACTGAGTTATCTATGACATAATGAATAGGTGCAAGATATTTTCTGTCTTGGGGCGGGGTATTTGCTCCCTCGGCCACCTTTGGTCTGTGTGGTAGGAGATGATGAAATACTAGTTGGTTTTATTTTTTGGCCAAATTACTTGTATCTTGGTGTTTCCTCACTCAGATGTGGATGAGCTTGGTGATAAGGCTGCTGTTGAAATTATTTACCTGTACATTTGCAATTTCCTTTAGTCTCTTCCTTGAATATTCTCTTTTTATTTTGTATTTTTGGGGTTGAAACAGCTCTTCTCATATCAGGGATTTGGGGAGCTCAAGTGCAACTTGATTATTTATTATTTTTTGGGTAAGTCACCTGATCTGCTTAAGTAAGGTGCTATTTGGACAGCCATTTTATGAGGATTTTGGATGAGGGTCATGTGTAGAAAATGCTGGGGTTTTTTTCAGGTTTTTTTTGTTGTTTGTTTATTTGGTTGTTTTTTTTCCCCAGGTATTTGATAACAGGAATCTGAAATATTAGCAATGCATTTGCAAAATCCTTGGCTTGTTTACTTGTATTTCTGAGCTTCAATATCACGAAGCTTTTCAAATACCTCCATTGAAGGTTGTGGCACCTGGTGCAGATCTTAAATCTCAGCAGTTCTTCGTTCACACGTGGATTGCTTGTCTCTTCTAGCAGACATAATGTCAGATATCTGCTTCCTCTAAGATTTTTTTTCCCCCTCTCAGCTAATCATCTGTTTTTATACTGGAAGGTTTTAAATAATTCCCAGTCACAGCATCAAACCTAGGGAGGAGAGAAGGGATTCGGTGGGTACAGCACAGCAAAATCCTCCTGACTGAATATTCCCAGCCCTGCAACTGCTGCCTGGTCTGGGGCTTAGGGATGGGTGGGAGCTGACTGGAATGCAGGGTGGGCTTCAGCCCTGCCTTTGCCTTTGTCTGGGATGCTGGGCGATGACTCTGTGCCAGCTCCGTGTCCGCGCATCCCGCGGGTGCTGCAGCGTGGGCATGCTCCGACACGGCGCTCCGTGAGTCTGCCTCCGATGGAGACACGTCCCTTCCTGGATTGAAGCTCTTCAGATGTCTCTGTCATGATGTCATTCCCTGTCATTTTTTTTATTTTTTTAACTGCCCGAAGGATGCTTTCGTTCCAAGTGGCTCCTGGAGGAATAAACGCCCCCGTGGTATTTGGAGAAAACTGCGGAAGAATCTGGTGTTGCAAAAAGGGAGCTGGTGTGGGCTGTGCTCACACCTTGTTGTTCTTTGTCTAGAAGGTTAAGGGAGATGCAGAAATAAAAGTTTTTAGGATAGCAGCTTTCCTAACCCAAGAGATCTTTGTGCAACTGTTGCGCTGGATTGCAGCATTTGCTTCCTGTTCCGATGAAAGGTTCTCTGCCCTGTTGGAAGGCCATAATTAAAGATATGCTCTGGCTCTGGTGGGGAGGCTGAGTGCTCTGGGTTCGTTACATCCAGGGACTTCAGGATGACAAGTGAAATGGTACAAAGGGCTGTGATGGCCATTAGCTGCCTCAGCATCCAGAGCTGGCTGGTGGCAGACCTGTGCTGGCTGTACACATCCTCGCCAAAAAATGTGTGTTTTATGGCTGAAGAAATCTGAGCTACAGTTCCTTACAGGGCAGGCTTTGCAGCCCTTCCATGGGAGATCTAGAAGCATCCCTGGGCGTTTTATTTCCATTTGAGAGTGGGATTGCCCAGAGGATGCAGTGTGTGGTTTTCCCTGCTCTCCTCAGCCATGTTGTGGGAGTTCAGTGCCGTATCCCTCAGCATTCGCATGGACTGCAGTGTCTCTGCCTCGTGCCGTTCAGCACTAGCTGCAGATGCTCTTTCCCCTGCTAAGATGCTGATTTTCCTCGCTCCTCAGTCCCCCAAATCTCCTTGTCTCTGGGGCTTGTGTCCCCCATGCCCCTCCCAGGCCCAGCCTGGGGACTTGCTGCATGTGCTGTAGGTGCATCATGAGCCTGCAGCATCATCTGTGCCCAGCCAGATGAATCTTCACCTCTCTTTCCATCTCTATTTTTATTAACTTTTAGAGGGATACAGCACTGGCTGGCTAGGAGAAGGCAACTTCACCAACACTCTCCTTAATTGAATTACTTTTCTCAATGATTGAAGATTATACAGAGTTTAGCAGTTTTAAATATGCTAATCTTTGCTAAAAAGGCAGGGAGAGCTCTGAGTGCTGAGGGATTAGATAGAGCTATTGTGTGTGGAAGTATGTTTCTTTCTGCCTTTGATCTGGTTTTATCAGGTGATTTTCATCAGTCCTAATACCCCAAGTTTAAGGAATTCTGATTTCTGGGTCACCTCAGGGAGTGGATACATCACCTACATTGGGGTAGCTCACAGTAAATGTGACACATATTTAAATATTAATAACTTCTTTAGTACTGCTTTGCACAGGAACATCTCTATTTCTTAATAAATGGATTTTTTTTCTTTTAATTGAGTGGGCAGAAGTGAATGCTGGGGCACTGCAACAGAAATATTTGTTCGTCACGTGAGTTTCTACTGCAGCTTTCATTGGCGAACAGATCTGAAGGGCACCAACGTGTACAGAAAGCAAAAGAACTCCTTGTTGTCCCTCTGTGCCAGCATTTCTGCATAAGATCTTGAAGGAAATTAGAACCAGTTGCATTTTCTTTTTTTTTTTTTTTTTCATCAGGAGCTGAGATTTTTAATATTGAAAACCCACTGATAAGTGCAGAGTAATAACTTTAGAGGTATAACTGGAAAGCACTAATGAGCTGTTCTGTTGCATAACGACGTTGGTACAGGCACTGCTGAGCAGTGTGATGAGTCTCATTAGATAACTGGGGAGCTGCAGGTGCTCCGTGTGTGACAAGGGGCTGGTGTAGCACTGCTCACAGCACGCACAGGCTCATCCCTGTGCTGCCTGAAACTCCCTTGTTTCTAAGGGTTTCACAAACTCCAGAGAGCTATTACCTTGTTGCACTGGTGGTTTAAAAACTTATCTCCTCCCCTGCGGGTAATTTCCTAACCTTGTGGTTTTCCTGTGGCTGGGCCTTCAGATATTTGGGGTTCTGTTTGAACTGTATGAATTTTCCATGAGTTTCTAAACATGGGCTTCACATCTGGAAGTGGAATATCAGCAAGCATCCCAACAAAGGGGTAGTCAGGCAGGAACCACCAGGAGGGCTGCATGGGTGAACAAAGAACTCCTGGACAACCTCAAGCCCCAAATGGAAGGGTGGAAGTAGAGGCAGGTTGCCCGGAAGGAATGCAGAGAAACTCCTGAGCAGCCAGAGATCAGGTTAGGAAACCCAAAGCCCTGATAGAATTAAACCTGGCCACTCATCAGGGGCAGCAAGAAAAGCTTCTGTAGCAGTAAAGGAGGACCAGGAAAAGTATGGTGTCTCTCCAGAAGGAAACAGGAGGCCTGGTTACCCAGGATACAGAGAAGGCTGAAGCACTCAGTGACTTTCTTTGCCTCAGTCTTCACCTGTGTTCCTCAGGGGTCAGTCATGGGATCAGCACTGTTTAGTATCTTTGTTGGTGACAGGTCCCTTCCCACCCAAAGTGTTCTGGGATTCTTTCATAGTGCAGTGTGCTTGGTGTCTGATCCTTCCTCGGTGTCCTGAAGATCTTGAGCTCCACCATTTCTCTTCTTTCTCTTCTCCATCGCTGAAAAATCCCTTCCTACAGCAACGTGTGGAAGAAGCACAGAGAAAAAGACATCAGTGTTTGTGGTGCCTGTTCTCACAGTGCTTTTTGATCCCTGTCTATTTGTGGAAGCCTCTGAAGGAGCTGTGTCTGTTCTTGAAAGGAGGAGTAGCTGTGCCTTTCTGAACTCTGCTGTGCTGTTCTCGCTGCATCTCAGAAGTAATCTGTGAGTTGGAAGGAAAATTATCATCTTTTTCTTGATGTGACATAATGGATTTTCTATCTGCAGCTCTTGGGGTGGTGGTGGTACCTGGCATAGGATCCAGGTTCTGGAAAGCAGATGCCTGAAAGCTTTTGCTGGAGCTGTAAGTGGGACTAATGGAGAAACAAAGGCAGGGAAGCTCATCTGAGCCCACCTTAGCAGATGATGTGGCATCTGGGAATTATCAGAGCCAACAGCCATTTTTCTCAGCTTCAGTGATGGTTAAAAATCTGTCTCCTGTAATCAGTCTGTGAGGAAAGAGCTGCCTTTTAGTTACCTGCTA